AAGATTATCCAATAATGTCATTCTAAACTCTCTATTAAAATAGTCAAATCTTGTTTAAAACAACAAATACTGTTCTAAATAGGAAACAAGACCAACCTATACGAACAGAATAAGCCTGATTCCTCATGCTCCTGTGGTACAACATCAATATATTTTTATCATTTGTGTTGCATCTTTTCCCTATTAAAACCCTTACATGATCTCAACCAACAAGAAGGCTGAAACAGATGTTAATCCAGGGACACAAGACTTGGACCAATGCCTCACTCATGTGCTAAGAGCAATTGGTGTATACCCAGACAAAAATGGCTTTCATCTCAAGCAACAGGGCTCATATGCAATTAATACTGTAGAGACACATGGAGCTCAGCTGTTCCCTGGATTTGTAGCCTTAGGAAGTCATCTAACGCCCTTGGCCTTAGTAGCCTCATTTGGAAAAGGACCACAGCGGGGATCAAGCATGGAGGGTAAACGGGATGCTCCTAATGGCACACTAAACAATGTCTTTCTTTTTAATGTGAAGTTTTGTTGGGGTCTGACTCACATATGGAGCAATTTACATATCTGAAATGTGCTGTTAGTGTATTCATAAAAGCAATGTGCTCCTCAGCTACTTCCTGGCCCCCCAGATCTCTATCTTCCCTAGTCTGGGCTAATTTTATGTTCTTCTTCTACAAATTTGATTATTCTGAGTATTTTCTATAAACAGAACCACATAATATTTTCCCTTGTGATAACTGATGTTTCGGGGGGGGGGGTCAGAATTAGAAAAGTCAAATACATAGGTTAGAGAATGCTATAAGGTCAGCAGAGAAAAAAGGCTACACTGACATGCTATATACACATACATATATATGTTTATGTGAATAATGACCATCTACTATAAGCAAAACACTGTGACAAGTACTGGGGAAAACACATGGAAGTGTGGTAAAGTATTGAAAAGCTTTGTACATATCTCTGCACATGCACGGACATGATTGCAGGTCGTAGTTTGTGGACACTCTTCTGCAAGTGTTTTATTTTTCTCACTCAAAAGTGAAACAAGGTCACCACAAGAGGAGGCTGAGTTTTCAGAGAGAAAATATGGTATAAAATTATTTTAAGAGAGAGGAAAGGGCAAGCCAGGAAGACATAGTATGAATACTTGACAGAATTAAGGATCTATTTGAGGTTCATGGTCACAAATTTAAAGTGAGGGACATCATCAGGGTTTTAAGTTTGTTTGTTTGTTTGTTTTTCCTAGCTATAATCAGCTGCAAAAAATGTAGAAACTATGTAATTTGAAAACTGTAACCAGACAAACCTGTACCCACACCTTGAGCTGTGAGTACAGATGGTGGTCCCGTCTCCAGTGCCATGACAACTTTCTGAGAGTCATCTCAGGTAACCTCATACCTAATGCTGGAATGGGTTTACTTTGAAAACAAACACTTTCAACAATAACTACTAGGGGAACATTCTACTATTTCATTACACATATCATCTCCATCAGTCCTCACATCTCAACTTAGCAAGGTCCTAAGTTCCCAACGATTCACACAGGAGAGTTGAGTGAGGCTAGGATAAAACCCTGTCTAACCCTGAAGTTTATCTTTTTCTACTCTATCACTGCACTTAAATCTTCATTTTATAACCATAAAAATTGGAGTCTAGGGATGCTGAATGATTTTTCCAAGGTCAGTCCATTTTCTAGTGGTATAGACAATATCTCCTTGGTGAATGCCCTGACCATCACCAAGGTAAGCTCCTCTTATGCTCTCTGCTGCTGTCATTCCCATGTTCAACCTACACCTAGTTATGTCTCTCCTCAAATTCCTCTCTGATAGTTACGTCTGCTATTCATAGCTTCTCCTTTTGTCTTTTTATTACCATTTAGGATCTCATCACTCCGGCACAGGTTATTCTAACAGCCTTCTAGTCCGGCCTCCCTATCAGAGGACAGATGATAATATTAGGCTGTCTAGAGCAGACAATTTACATACAGATTAATGGTTACACAGAATTAAAAAGGGATGGGAGAAAAGGAGAGTGACTTCTGCTAGAGCTCAAGTTTGGGGGCATAACGGTAACATCATAAAAGTACGTGTGCTGACAGTTGTGCGACTGTCACACAACTTGTGAGACAGTCAAGGGTTTAAACAGGTGAGCTCTATCTCAATAAAGTTTGTTAAGTGCACGTGCACCTGTGTGTGTAGGGCATGTGATAACTTTGTGGCGCTGACTCTCTCCTTCCAGCTTTATGCAGGTCCCAGGGATTGAACTCAGGGTGCCAGGCTTCACAGCACATCCTTTACCTGCTGAGCTATCTCAATGGCCTTTTGCTTCTTTATACTTACTTGTCCAGACAACTACTGATAACATTCAGGCTGTTGTCAGTGTTCTGATACTGTATTATAGTTTTTTTAAATATTTTTGTCAGTATATCTTTGAGATAACTTTCTAGAAACAGGAATGCTGATCTAAAAAGCAAATCCATACGTAACTGCCCCTGACACTGCCTACTTCTCTTCCACGGAAAGCTGCTCCATTTTGCATTTCCACAGCAATGGATGAGAATGCCATTTCTCTAGAGCCTAATCATGAGAAAACTTTGCCAAACTTTGTGATTGTTGTCAGTGAGACAGGTGAAGAATGGCCTCTCAATAGAGTTTTAATGTGAATCACTCTTGATTCAACATAAGCATCTTCAATGGGATGCAGTGGGTTATATCCGGATGCTAGTAACAGGACAATCGCCACGAGTTGCAGGCTAGCCAGGGCTGAAGTGACACTGTCTCCAGAAAAGCCAAAACACCTGGGAATAACAAGGACTTAGGGCTTTGGCATCATTTCTGTACTGCTCCCTTTAGTCCATATTCCCACAGAGCTGTTGGTCTTACCTCCACTTTGCTTAGTTTTATCCCAGAAGTTCCATTTATACTTATTTATCACTTCCTTTCTGCTTTTGGATTATGAGATTCAGTTAGGAATCATTCCTCCCATTTCCAGGATACAAAAGGACAGCTTATGTTTTCTTCTTCTATGTATATGAACTGACTTCTCTAATTGACTTGAAATTCATCTTGCTGTATGGAGTGAGGAATGAAATAGTTTGTATTTTTATCTTATGCTAATGTATCTGAATAAGGCTGTATCTTACTTGGCTGGGCATATCTATTCATTCAAACATTAAGTCTATGCCAAAAAGCACCATGCTGCTCTAAGGCCAGGTGATCTTACGTTGCACTTCTGAGAATACAAAGCTCCATTTCTGGAGGATGTGGATCATCTAGACAATTGCTACTTGGTGCTTTGAAAGGCATTCAGCCTTTCTGAGAATTAGGCCTGAGCCACACCCTCTCTAGCTGTGCCAGGTAAGATGAACTGAACCCAGAGAAACCAAATTCTAGGGTGAAGATCTTTATTAAATAAAATTAAGGCTAAAAATATGGTAGAAGTCAGTGTGAGTCTACAGAAGAAAAATTCAGAAGTAAAGGCAAGCCCAGTCACTGAGTCTTAGGTTCGATTCCTAAACCACAAGAATGTCATCTACTGTGTTCATGGTCTCAATGTTCTCATACTGACTTCATGTGATAAATGCACTTTGGTATCTTAGTGAAAAGTTTAACCAACTACATTATCAGTATAATTAAAACCCATACTAGGCACAACATAATATCAAACTTTATTCTGTTACCCAGAGGGAAATATACAATGTTGTGAATAATTTAAGCTAGGCATTATTTTCATTCCCATCGGCTATGTGGAAAATTTGAGACAAACTTTCAGGAAGGATCAAACTTTCCAGATGAGGAAAACAGAGTGGCTTGTAATCAGGTCTCTGAACACTGAAATCTGCCCTTAACTTCTGTGAGTCAGGAAGACATGGGCTCATTACCCAGAATATGGTTTACTCTTAGCCACAGTCAGAGTGAGGACAGCACCTCATAGCAGTGGGGGGAACCGACAGTTCCATTTTGGCTATCTATTCACCTCACTTACATCATCTGAATGTCAACACTGTAACATTTGACCTCCTTCAGGTAGTGATGTCAATGCACTGGGAAGCAGCAAAGAAGTGGATGAAAGAGATGGCAAATGCGCTGGATAAGATAGTGCTGGCGACTGACGTACAGTTTTAGTCCCCGATTTGATCTGCGCCTGGTCAGGTTTTGGGCCTTCTGAACCTGCACTGTGTGTTCTGTCCAGGGTGCCACACTTGTAGTCAGACTAGACAGGAATGGCCCTGCTGCTGTCAGCGTTTTCGCCAGATCAGAACCGTGTAGGTATCACTTATGGTAGAGGAGTGGGTGGGTTCTTAAAGGGCAATTCTACTACGGAATATATACTAAATAGAGTAATGGATTATAAGCACGTATTATTTATACCATGTCAGATGAGAAAAATGAACCTGAAAGTACTGAAACCAGACACAGGTCAGGTTCTGTTAAACACAGTTTTAACCTTTGGGAATCAGTTTATTGTGATTATCCTTCTCCTGTAAAAAGGGAGTCTGTGCTCTCCTTCACAGTTCAACATTGAATAAAGACTTTACAGAGATTCTTCAAAATAACAGAAGGATACACAGTTAAAAATATGTAAGCTGGCGGTAATGGCACATGCCTTTAATCCCAGCACTCAGGAGGCAACAGCAGAAGGATCTCTGCGAGTTCGAGGCCAGCCTGGTCTACAGAGCAAGTTCCAGGGCTACACAAAGAAACCGTGTCTCAAAAACAACAACAGCAACTACAGACAAAAACAACAATAGCAACAACAACAAAAAAAAAAAACCCTAAAAATATTAATTCTAAAGCTTGTTACAGTGCAGAGGACAAGATTAACTTGTATGTGAAATAAGCTGGCGAATGCGAGGTCCAGCTTTGTGAGTTCTCTTATTTCAAGAACACAACAGTTCTCATATGCTGTAATAGCTGCAGAGTGAGAATCTAGACCTCAGGTTATTTGTTGGAAATGAAAGTGGTCTGGGAAGTGTTATCTCAAAGGAGTAAGAGATGTACCTTTCCATGACTGCTAGGCACTCCTTTCTCCAGGTAAATCTGCTTCCTCGCCGGAGTCGGAAAGTTCCGGGTGTGGCAGAGACTGGGGGAGGTGTCTGTCTCCACTCAGGGTCCTCTATTGGAATGGGGGCAGGCCTCATACTTAACGTAGCCCCTGGAATAAATAAGACATTGTAAAGCAAATATTTTGCAATTAAAGAAATCAGTATTACAAAGTTACCATGAAAACAAGAAAATGAGATCTGAGTATAAGCTTTTCTTTGTCCATTGAAACTCGAAGGCCAATACATTTAATATTGTTATTTAAAAAAAAAAAAACATGATCAATGAGCTGCAGAGATGGCTTAATGGTTAAGAGCAACGACTGTTCTTCTAGAAGACCTGGGTTCAATGTCCAGCACCTAAATGGCAGCTAACAACTATCTGTAACTCCAGTTCCAGGACAGCCAATGTCTTCTTCTGGCCTCTGAAGGCTGTGTACACACATAATTCACAGACATATATGAAAGGAAAACACCTATACACATTAAAAAAAAAAAAAAACCACAAAGGAAAAACCTGAAGAGATAAAAGCCTCTTCCTTCAAAAGTCAGTAAAAGTCATCTTAACTGTCACCTTTTCATTTGCTTTCATATGTCTGCTAGTTTCTTAATGCAACTCATATAAAGCACAAAACCTATTAACAGGAAGGACTGAACTTTTCCATGTACAGCCTCTTTTGAAATCCCTATACTAGGCCAGATGTGGCACACATCTGTAATCCCACCACTTGGAAGCCAGAAGCTATAAGAGACTGTCTCAAAAAGAAGTGTCAAATACAGCAACAAAGAAAATAAGATGGTATTTCACACCTGTTAGTGAGTTGTGTGTCTATACATCAATTACATACTAGAAATACCACCTTCCTTTACCTCTCGACAATAACAACTACAATCTGAGCGAGTTCACCGATTTAGACTAGCTTTTCTCAGACAGTTTCAACCAGTTATAACTCACTAATTCTCGATATATCACGTCCTTTTCCGTTACTTGTTCTATACTAGAAGCTAGATTCACACCAGAGAAGCCACCTTGTCTCAGGCTTCCATGGCCAGCTCAAGGGCCTGAGCAGAGCTTGGCATGCTTCCACAGTCAGCTCTGCTCCCACTCCTCTTTAACTACTTGCCCTGCTAAAGTCATCTTTCCCAAATACAAGAGTTCTATCACCCTTCTATTAAAGCCCTCAAGAAGTTCCCTCTGACTGTAGTTTAATCTAAACTCCTTTTCTTTCATTCCTTTGAGATAAGAAGTAAGGTAGTCCAGAACTCCTGCCTCCACCTCTCAAGTACTGGAAGTATGGGCACGCATCACAATGACTTAATAAAGTCATAAAATGGCAGGTTAGTATTCAAGAGGTTTAGGTACATCTGAATGTTAATCTCACACAAGGAATTCATATTTTTTCATAAGAATGGTTTTCTATTGTATCATCGATTAATACCATGAATAATATCTCTATTTTAATACACATACATCCCCACCTCCACAAAACCCTTTCTGAGATAGGGCTGTCCATGTTGCTTAGGCTGGCCTTTTACCTCCAGGCCTCAATAGTTCCTCCTGCTTTAGCACCCCAAGTAGCTGGAATTACAGGTATGCAAAAGTGGGCCTCCCTAAACCCCCTTCCTACAGGCAACATCTTTATTTGTATTTTCTTGGATGGAGAACAATGATTTAAGCAATCTAGATTCTCCTTTCCAAACATACTGGCTTTCTGTCTCTTCCTTAGTAGTAAATCTCCAAATCACAAGATATCTGGCTATCTCAGATCCATCTCATCTTTAATTTCCCTATTTCCCCCCACTATACATATGATGCACAGTCCATACTCAAATTTTATTATTTATATTCAAAATAAACCCAGTATAAAACTTTCTTTTTATATGTATTGCTGCTTTACAATAGGCCAGCATCATCTCTCACAACCATAACCTCCCAGGGCAGGTCTAAAGATGGACCTTCACAATAAGCCATGCCTCAGATCTGGACAGGTCCTATGACATGGAGAAAGCCCAAGGCTAGATCATAGGGAGCTTTGTACCTTCTGTCTGTGTCTCCTGTGATGCTCGCTCAGCTGTCCTTTAAGAAGTCAGATCAACCCTACATGCTATGTAGAAAGGCTGCACAGAATGAAAGATGTTTCCCTCATCTCTAGTTGCTTCTGTCATTCTACCTAAGTGTCAGACAGTAGAGGGAAAAAGCTACCTTGTATGCTAAAGCTACAGTATACATACGATGTGGATACTTTTATACCCATCTGTCAGAGAGAATTAAATGCCCAGACATAAAGTCCCAACAAAAGCATGTTAGTAGCCAGCCTCCAGATGCTTCATGAGTGTGTCTTGCCTCCCAGTAGCTGCGCCTTTATGTAGTGCTTTCTCATTCTGTACTCAAGACTAGACTATATGACCAGGAACATGTGGCAGTAAGAGCATGTGTCCTCCAGAACTGAAACACTAGGGCACCTTTTTCTGCTTTTTTTTTTATCAGATCACTCGCTCATGGGAGAAGGAGTTGCAAGGTGAGGATGGATGATGGAACTTTGGCTATGAGGCAGTAAGGAACAGGGACAGCCAGTTCCAGAGACTGCAGCCCTGGCAGGCAGCTTGACTAAAAGCTCATGAGGATGCTGACCCTGGATTTCTGGTCTATGGAAACAGAAAATAAATTTTTGCCATCCTAAGCTGCAAACATGTGGCATGTTTTGTATCACGGCAGACAATACAAGTCACTACAACCCTCTCCAGCTGTGATTTCATCACATCCTCCCCAACACTAAGCATATTACTTATGCAAATGCACCAATCTGGCAGAAAGAAAATTCCTTTAAGATAAAATACCTTACTAGTAGTAGAAATGGGCACCTTTTCTGTTTATTGACTATTATCTCTATTTTTGTTAGTTTCTGGTCCTTTTTCTACTGAGCTATAGATTTTGACTGAGTGGAGATGCAACATCAATTATTAGTCATATAGCTATAAATATTTTTTCACTTGTCATCTGCAGTATCTTTATTTATGGCACTTTTAATCTTAATTTATGTATAGTTAAGTTTGTAAGCCTTTTCCATGCAGCCAGTGTTTATGAACCTTTTGTATTAAGGCCAGTATGCTTAAATCTCTTCTATTATCATCAGTGAGTTTGAATCTTTTATATTATGGACAATGGATTTAAGAAAAGGGTTCGTGGACTCAGTGGTTAAGAGCACTGGCTGCTCTTCCAGAGCACCCAGGTTTAATTCCCAGCACCCACTTGGTAGCTTACAACTGTCTGTAACTTCAGTTCCAGAAGATCTGATGGCCTCTTCTGGCCTCTGTGGGCACCAGGCTTGCAAATGGTGCACAGTCATATATGCAGGCAAAACACTCATACACACAGATACATACATACATACATACATACAGTTTCTTTTATCAAAATAACCTGGACCTGGTTCAAAGTCTTTCCTATTTTTCCCAAAGCAAGCAAGGATTACAGCACAGCAAGAATCTAGGGTAAAAATCCATCTAATTAAAATTATACAAAGTCTGTTCCAGAAAAAAAAAATTTCCAAAACACCCAAGCTAACTAACATCACAGCTGGTCAAGATGAAGGCAGAAACAGAATAGATAAGACTATGGGTTCTCTTACCCCAAATTTGCCCTGGTAAAGGGATGGAAAATTTTAGAGTTGAGAGGATAGGGGAGAAGAGAACAAAAGATCAGTGAGCTCCAACATGGGCTGCTAGAACTGTGCAATGTTCTTATAGGCACAGTGTGGTCCTCGCATGCAAATTAACAGAGTGCAGAATCCTAAGAGGCTAAAGGAAGTGAACAGCCAATGTACAATAGAAGTGTTTTCTTGGTATTGGTATTTCCTGTTAAAAGTATCAATCACTTAAAAATATTCTACATTGTCTAGGCTTTCTGTAAGAAAGGAATTTAGATTAAAATAAAGTTGGTTTAGAAGGAAGGAAAAAGAGGAAATGAGGAAAAGGGGAGACAAAACTGAGAGAAGAAGTAGTGACCTGGTGACTTTGAAAGAAATCAAGGTTATATACAGAAGGCTGAAACTGAGCAATTTTAAATCTGTAAATACTATTAATTAAGAAAAAAAAAAACCACATTAATTTTGAAGATTTTTTTTTCTTGCTCTATTTCTTTTTCAATTTAGTAAACATTGAGAATAGCACAAGAAGCCAGGCAGACATGGTAGCTAGCTATCTGGAACTGGGAATGTGGAGTTTGGAACCTCCAGAGCAAGCTGGCTAGCAATATTAGCCATAATAGTGAGCTCTGGATTTGGCTGAGACACACTGCCTCAGTGAGTAAGGGGCAAGAGAGATTGTGGATGATTCTATTTTGTTCCCGGACTCAGGGTTTCTCTGTGTGGTCCTGGCTGTCGTGGAACTTGCTCTGTAGACCAGACTGGCCTGGAACTCACAGAGATCCACTTGCCTCTGCCTCCTGAGTGCTGGGATTAAAGGTGTGCGCCACCACTGCCCAGCTTTGTGAATGATCCTTGACATCAACCTCAGACCACCACATGGCTACACACATGCATACACCACACACCCACATACTAAAAGGAAAAACAAGAAAAACAGCACATGTGACATTCTCAAATACTGATTTCTTCTATAAAGCCCAGTCTATTTTGTTTTGGGGCAGACATACAAAGAACAGTGAAATACACAAGAATAGGATCAAAATTATAGACTTTGACAGGACAATGCAAAGAAACTAGAATGCAGGAATAATGAGGTCAAACCTGCAGTAATACAGGAATTCTGGGCTGGTGAAAGGCCCAGGTGCTCTCACTTAATTGTTACTTTACTTCTTTACAGTAATGCCTTCCACATTACATACCCGAGTTCACATTAAAACAAAAATTTGTACTCTCTTTTAGCAAACCTCAATCCATGAGAAAAAAAAAATTTCAAAATTGCTAATAGATTTTAGGTTTTCAGTGAGTGTTCTTTACAGCTATGATTATTTTATGTACAGGGTTAGAACTGGGTGCGCCCTATTAATCAGCACGTAGAAAAATGGCTGTTAGCACTTTATCCACAGAAAAGGAAAATGGCTTCTCATATGCTCCAACGTCACATGCATGCTTCCCAGAGTTTTGGCATGCTATATGTGAAGAACAGGTGTTTCTGATCTGCACACTGACTTCATGTACGCTATTCACAAGACACCTGACTCTGTTTGAAGTCTGTAGGATTGGTGATAAGCCTGCAGGTGCCGCAAAGTCTTCCTATTATAGCAATGGTTGAATCAGACAAGAGAAAAAGACTGGGGATCTTAATTCGAATTAATGAATTTTTCTCACATCAGATACACTGAATTTGGTACTTGGCTCTTTAAGAAAACAGGCATTTTCTTGTAAATGTTGTCATGAGAAACAAGATAAAGTGCATGTGATCGGTTTCCATCAACTTGTTTTATTCATAAGTCTTACTTAGCAGGCTTTGAGATGTACTGGGAAACATCATCAGATGTTTCTGATGATGGGGTCTGTTTATCAGAGAATTATATCTGTAGATATTGGATTATCAATAAAAATAACCCCATTTTTTCTTGCTGACTTCATGTAAAGAGAACCTTATAAAAAAAAAAAAAAAGAGAGAGAGAGAGACCTTATAAAAAATCTGAATGATTTAGAGGAGGAGGCTGAAAGATAATTTCACTGGAGAAATGCAGCCAGAAGTCCTTTAACGGAGGCGGAGAATCTACATCTATACCAGGCTTGTTTGCCAGACATTTCTACAGCAAAGAACAGGAAAGTCAGCTTTACATTTTGCGGCTTGCCTTAATTTTCCACTTTTTTCTCCTCAGAATGTATGTGAAAACATGATGTTATTTGCGTTTCTCTTGATAACCTGCATGCCGCACAAAGGAAAGGTTATGGTACTAGCAACTCCTTCCTAATAAACCTATCCATGGCTTATTTTCTACAAACTATTTCAGGCAATCTGCAGGAACCACGGCAGCTCTCCTCTTACCTTAACATGAACGACATTTATTTTCACATCTCCTCTCTCCCTCCCTCCTTCCTTCCTTTCATTACATGTTATATGTATTTTTCAAACACAGAAAGCCAAAGAAGGGCCATAATTCAATGGTAAAATGCCTGCCTTGCATACATAAGGTCCTGGGTTCAACCCCAAGCACTGCAAAGTGAACAAAGACCCAGAGGGTGTATAATTAAGTCTATTTCTCCCCTTACCAGCAGCATCCCTCTTCAGAGCTGTTCTTATCAGTTCCTAAGCTAGACTTCCCGACATCTTCCCTACTTACCGAAATCTAAACTGCCTATGGGTGTGTGCATATTCCTTGAATATACATCGTATTGCAGTGTATATTGTTTCATATCTCACATTTTTAACTTCTGAATGCTGTTTCACTGCATGCAAGTGAAATTCACAAAAAAGCATGTTAAAAATAACCATATAGTTCTACAATGTTCTCTTGTAGAGAACTCAACAAGTTCTTAATCAGATGATTCTAGTGACATGCAAAGAGCATGAGGCACTGCGAGCAACTACTTAACAGGAAGACAGAAGAGAAGTTATTCTTAGGTGTCACACTGTATTCAAAGATTATAACAACTCTAAAGTTCCCACAGGGGAAGAAACAATACCATTCTTTAGGCAAAATCAAAGGCTATTTTAAAGTCAACAAAGCTGCACTGATACATCCAGAAAGAAACCTATGCCCCATTACCTCGTATATTAAAGGTGAAAAGACAAAGAAAAAAAAACTTAAATACTGATGGATAATATTCAACTATTGTAAACATAACAAACCTATCATTTGACACTCACCAACTGATCTTTTTTTTTCTTTTAAGCTACTTGTACGTTATAACATCCAGAAAAAAAGCTGAGTTTCGACTGGGCTTTAAAAGGGGGACACAGAAGCCAATGTATGTACAGGCACCCATCCTTCAAAGAGGATATGTGTGCACACAGGGTGCTCATAGGGAGTGCTGCTAGCCTGCACCCAAGCCTCCCACTAGGTGCTCTACATTCCAACTTCCTTCAGTGTTTCAGAGCTGGGTGGGCCTTGCTCAGGGTCCACCACACATTTAACTGGGAAGATTATAAACAAAAGTAAGTCACTCCAAGGCTACAAGCTGGATTCTTACAGTAGGAGTCTTCAGTGAGCTTAACAATGCTGCTGCAGCTCTTTCCTATCTCTAGTGAAGTAACTGCATCAACAGCTTCCACCCTGCCCCAAGCTGGAGTACAGCCCTAAAACCCTAGGGTAGGAATTTAGCCTCAACAACTGTGATTAGTGTCTATCCTAGTTCTGTCCTAGGTACCGAATCCTAGGGTAAACAGTTCCTTGTGTACCCAGCTGAACTGTCACTATCAGCCCGTGCTACTCTATGAAGCATACCACACCAAGTTTCTTCCCCTCTCCAACTAACTAGCATTGCTGTGAATAACTGGGTTTGCTATAAATCACAGGACAAGGAAAATCATCTTTGTGAGACTGCTGAGTATCAAGTCTGACCTGCTGCTTTAAGAATATCTTAGAATTATGCTGGTCTCATATGGAAGCACCAGACAACTGGACACTTGAAATGTGGTTAGTTGGAAATCGTGTTATAAACATAAAATATCTACTGATTGCTAAAGAATCTGGACAAGAAATAGGAAGGGAGTGGGGAGTTTCAATTTTAGAAATGAAAATTAAAAATTGAAGTGACATGTGCTATCATGTATCATTACTCTGCTTTTTCACTCTTTCTTTCTGAAATGTGGCTGCTAGGAAATATGAAACTACATGTCATTTGCATTGCATTTCCCCTGTGAACATGTAACAGCAATCAGAGACAGTTTTTTAAGAGCTTTGCTTATGTTTCTAGATATTGCTAGAAAATATGAAGGCCCTTCTTTGTACAGTATTTAAGCTGATAAATATTGAAGGAATGATAGATGAGATTATCTAATTTTTATTTCCCTGGAAGAACTGACTGAGCAAGGATCTTCAAGGAATTCTGAGACCTGACAGCAGAAGTAGACTCACAGAACCACTTAAAGACACAGAGGAAAGATCTGGTCTCCACCTCAACAGCACCATCAAATAGAGACATTAATAGTGCTGCCACTTGATAACACCTTATGGCACGTGGCATATTATTCACACAGTATTTTCACCTTATGTTTTATTGGAAAAAACGTATAGCAAAACCTTACTTGTGCTAGTTAATATTTCCCTATACCTACCACAAATTTCTCAACCAACCCATTTTATTTTGTTGCAATTCAATGTAAATTGATGTCATTATGACAGGGACTCCTAAAAAGAAAATCTATGCACTATTCTTAACAAAAACATTCAACCTGAATCTAACAGAGCCTTAATTCTGACTCCCACTGTGTAGGCACTACAGAAAATAAAGAAAAGTCCTTGAAGAGTAAAAGTAAGCAGTTTGGAAAAATCTACACTGTGGGACATTTTATAAAATAACAAGATTTTAAATGTTTATGGTATTAAGAAATAAAAAATGTGGGCATTTAAGAATCTAGGGAAGCATTCTAATTTTCTGACCTAAAACTTATTAAAAGAAAGAGAGGTAGAAAACAGGTTGGAGGTGAGGAGACAGATATGGAGCTATACAAGACAGTTTTGTAACAGAGAAATGTGATAATGGATTAGATAATTGTTGAAGTATTCATTTTCTTAAGTATAATAATGGAGATTATGGTTACGTAGGAAACTACCCTCATTATTGGGATATGACACACAAATAAATCTATACTTGAGACAATGTGCAGGCTGAGACAGGCACTCCCTAAAACTTTATATTTTTCTTGATCTATTACTTGTTAAAAGTATCTTGGAATCAATGTTGCCCATTCTTGGCAACTCCAGGCCTCAAGACTTTTATGATCTCTTTTTAAAAGACTTTATCCTATTTTCCAATCGAGTGCTGCTCCTGGGAGTTATATGAACAGCTTCACCTTAAAACTTCAAAATATATTTATTACCCAGGCCACAACCTTTAAAAACATAAAGTGATCTCTCCACTCTCCATTAGGAGAGATCACTGGAATGTTACAGTATGAACTCAATAAAAACATTAAATACATACCAAGTAAGATACTGATATTCCAATTTTTTTTTTAAAAAGGGTACATTTTTATCTGTGCACTTACAGTTGAAGAAAAAAAAAGGCCAGCCTTAAAAACAAACAAACAAACAACAACAACAACAACAAAACACCTGACCTGGAGACCAAGAAGCAGCTGTGAGGAAGAGGTGAACCCGCCTAGAAAACAGAAACCTAAACATAATTACAACCAGGGCTTAGATTTTACTGTTGTCTACTTGCATAAAGAAAAACAATAAAGCATGAAGCATTTTTTGAACAAATTAGCACTTGGGTTCAATGAAATAATTATACCTTTTCATATGAGGCACAGTAAATAAAAAGAAATACTTACCAGGGTTTGTCTTTTCAAGTTGATACCATCGGTAAAATGCTCTTTTCTTCTGTTCACTCAGGTCTGATCCCTGCTGCAACAGCCAATGAGAGATCCGACTCTGACTGATACCTATGAGAAAGAAAAGCAGCGTTTGGTGGGGCACGGAAATCACAGCCAGCTTAATGAGGGTTCTGGTGCTTTTAGTTACTCGGTGCTGGTTCTACCTGACTGTGAGATGAAGCTGTAACTGGAGAAAACAACAACTAGCCTGACCACACTGACTAGGACCTGTGCAAAAATTATCTATGAGAAGTCAAAACATTTCTCAACAAAGATGTTACAGTGGCTTCTAAATAGGAGATCCCAAGCACCACCACTTGTCAGATCTACTTCTGGTTAGGAATATGAGAGGTTTTAACAGATACTTAAGAGAGATAAAGTAACTGTTACTTCTCATTATTGACATTAATTAAAAAAAAATCTAGGGGCTAGGTAAGGAAAGGTCATTGAAAACACTGCTTCAGTAAGGCTTCTGGCTATCTGCTAATTCATTTAAGTGTTTAGACCCATCTCCCCTAGCAGAGAGAAGCAAGATTGGCAGACTTGTGGACTTAGGTTACAACATGACCCATGAAAAAAGCTCAGTAACTAAAAACGGTTTCTAGACATGTTTTCCCTTCAAAACAGAAGAGACTACACAACAGTAGTTCTCTGCTATCGCTAAGAGCTTCTTGTCAGCAATTACTTAGAGATGTGGGTGATTCACACATATCAAAGTCAAAGGAATGTTCCAAAGCTTTCAAGAACCACACACTCATTCTGGTCCATTATATTTTTAAAAACCCAATATACAACCAGCAAAAGCAAAGAAATTAGGAGAGAGGAACTGGGGGGAAAGGAGGAAGAGGGCTATGACTGGGATGTAAAGTGACTAGATAAAAATTAAAATAAAAAAGATCTGAAAAAAAAATAGAAATGAGGCATTTCCAAAAGATCATTTGGATATGATAGAGAGTTTGTAACACCTTAAAGCCTCCAAAGTATGCTGGACAGTGGTGGGGCGTACCTTTAATCCCAGCACTAAGGAGGCAAAGGCAGACACATCTCTGAGTTTGAGGCCAGCCTGGTCTATAAAATCAGTTCCAGGACAGCCAGGGCTATGCGGAGAAACCCTGTCCTGGGGTTGAGAAGCCTCTGCGCAGTGAGTCTCAACCCCTTTGGGAGTCACATATCAGATATTGTGCATATCGGGTCTCAACATTATGATTCACAACAGTAGCAAAATTACAGATATAAAGTAGCAGCAAGATAATTTAAGGTTGTCATCACAACCTAACAACTGTATTGTAGGGTCTCAGCATTAGGAAGGTTGAAAACCACTGCTTTAAAGGGTTAAGATACCTACTGTACCACAAACACCACTATGCGGACAGCTTGTAAAGCTATTATGCTCAACAGGAGGCAAGACAGATTTCAGACACTTACCAACGCCTGGTAGAGGATGATGAGTGAAAACATGGGGGAAAATAAAAGAAAAGCTACTTTTCTTCTTAACATTTGTGTGTGTGTGTGTGTGTGTGTGTGTGTGTGTGTGTGTGTGTGTGTGTATGTATCTCCAGTGCACAATGTCAGGGGACAACTTGAGGGAGCCAGTTCTTTTGTCATGGGTTTCAGGGACTGAACACAGGTTGTTAGGCGTGGTGTCAAGCACCTTTACTCACTGAGCTATCTTTTTTAACGGGCATGGTTCTCTTTTTGGAAATGTTTCAACAATTCCCAGAGATGGTTCCCAGTGGTAAAAAGTCTATGTGATGCCAGTGTTGGCAGCTAGTGCTTAGGGTTTGTTAAGAGACAATGCTGATTATTCTGAATAATTAAATCAGCCATGTTTGGTGATGTTGTCACCAAAATCTAGCTTCAGCCATCTCATGGTATCTTTTTAATACTACTCTTAAAATAAGAATGAAAAAAATGATCATTCAGTACCATAAAGTCAAAATCCATTTCCTTGCCAACTAAACAAAACCATTCAAATGGATTTCCCTGCTGTTACCACATAGGTAAAAAAAAAAAAAACAACTATGTTTTTAAAAAACATAGTTTAAAAAATATTAATAAGTATGGATGAGATATTAGCTTGCTCCAATATTAAATATTTCTTTCATTAGAACACACATGGAACGAACCACAGAGCCCATTAGCTATGAGAGCTGTCCATGCTGTGTAGGAAGTAGCAAAAGCCTATCAGGAGGCTATCAGGTAACAGTATATTTATTTTCATAACAAAATACCGGCATGAGTTTAAATTGAGTATTTTTTAAAAGCTACAAAAACCCCAAAACTAATCTGACAATTACCCACTAATACTGCGTGCTAGCAAGAGCATGGGACTCATGAATGACAGGGCTATTAGACAGTATACATGAAAGGTGAACTTTGGTTATACGGCCCACAGGAATGAGTACTGATCTAGCACAAACATACTTAAAAGACATGCACAAGAAGCCTCATAAGTAAGCATCATCTAAAGCATTCCTCAGGTCAAAAGCCTAAATAGCCATCAACTGCAGAACACAGACACTACGATACCTGTGACTTCTACTTCACAGTGCCATTGCAACAAGGGGATAAATGTAACCTCACATAGGTACCCACATGGGTGCACCTCACAGAAACAATGATGCTCCCCAAACCAGACACACACAGAAGTCACACACTATACCATCTACAGGGATGCAAATCAGCACACTGGTACCCAGGTAAGAAAGAAAGAAAAGGTTGGGAATAAAGCTTTATGTGGTGGCCAGTGACGCTCTTTACTGGTGTGGAAGGTGGTGATGTGGGTGTCTATAAGGCATTGAGTTGTAACCTACTGTACACATTTAAAATGTTTTTAAAATTCATAAAGCACATATGTATTTATATGTAAAGATGCCCTTGATATAAATCAGAAAGTATACAGTTTTATGAATATATAATTTTATATGTGCTATATTATATTTATATATATATCAAAAGCTTATGGATGCACATGACAAATCTAAATTTGTAAACTTTTCCTGCATTTCTACCTCTATAGCATTCTCAATCTTTCTATAAATGTTTTTTTTTAATTTTATTTTCCATAAATGTTTTAATTTCTGGTTTTGACACAGAATATTTTAGTTTGTGTTCATTCTTTTAGAAACACTGCAATTAAAGTGAAGGAAGAGTTATAAAGAGAAGTCCACTCTGCCTTCTGTCTGCAATTTTACTCTGAGGAAAGCATGTGACATGTTGTCACAGTTTTCTCTCTGTGCAATTATGAATTTAATAAAATAGAGGAACAAGTGATACAGGCTGTCCTCCTGATTCACCTTGGAGTCAGACAATAAATACAGAAAACAAAGCAGTTAAGCAAGCCATTTCCTAGAAGAGGCATTGTAAAGCACATGAATACACGGCAAATGTCACACTTAGAAATGACTTTTCTCAAGGGTCCTTGACCCACCTTCCAGACTGGTTGGAATCTCTGTGGAACTTTTCATTCAGGTCTTAGCAGCTTTTCTTTACTGTCTTTTAGCTCTGCTACTTCCCTCAGAAGAAAATTTCCCTGACAGCCCCCTCCCTGCTGTGGAGGAAAAGCTCTGTAAAAAATTCAGCTCTTCATAAACCTCTTCTTTTCTACCTCTTGCAGGGCAGAAGCAAAAACAAATTTACATGTCTCAGTGAGAAAGTAAGCCCCTTATATCCAAAGGGTGGAAACAATCTTTAGGCCCCATCTCAATACCTTCAATACCTTCAGCTTTATTGGCTCCTTCCTGAAGTTTATACACACTGCTTCCTTCCACTAGAGGGCTCTCAACCATAACCCAGTCTCTTAAGTCTTAACATTGGACTCTCTACCTCTCCATGTTTTGTTTCCTGGTACAATTCACGGAATATGACATTACTGGCCATTCACTCGTTGTCATCCTTAGGATGAGGGATGCAGCTCCTCCAGAGCCTTCTTTTGGCTCCAGGTGCTTTGTTAATTCCCTACTCATTAGTGGCCCCTAGGATTCCATATTTAAGCCTCTTCCTTTGATCATTGTAATTATCAACAATAATGATTTAAAATGTCATGTAAGTGCAAGAGGTTCTCAGGGCACAACCTTTTCTTAAAAACCACTGGCTAGGTGGCATCAAAGAGGATTTCTCACAGGTCAACATAGAAAGATTAATTCATTCAGCATCCCTCATTTGCTTCCTATAAGAGCTAGTTCAGTTTTACCTTTAAAAATTTTTATTTAATTTTATGTGAATTAGTGTAAAGGTGTCAGATACCTTGGAGTTGGCGTTACAGACAGTTGTGAGCTGTCATGTGGGTGCTGGGCATCAAACCTGGGTCCTTTGGAAGAGCAGACAGTGCTCTTAATCCCTGAGTCATCTCTCCAGCCCCCAGTTTTATCTTTCACATACTCTCACCCCTAATGCTTACATTTTTACCAAATCTCCTCCTTCTAGTCTTCATTCCTGTATTCTGGAATCTTAGCCCTCTTTTACCTGGAGAACTATAATAACTTTGACGACATGAACAGGCCATCCCAGAACCACAAAATATAAAACCCTCATGAATGTTCCTCTTAAATTAAACCATTGCACAACCTTCAGAAATTTTCTACTGTACAACTGTTATCATCTTTATAATTTAATTCCATAATGCAATCAGAGATTTGTTTAAATATGTTTGGTTATGTTTGAGTCATCGTCTCACTAGATAGCCCTGGCTGGCCTAGAAGTCAGTTACTATGTGTCTCAAGCTTGCTTCCCACACACAATCTTCCTACTTTAGCCCCTTTAGTGCTAGATTCTAAGTGTGTGTCACCACCAAAGCTTATTACTCAAAGCTACAATGCAATCACTCTCCATAAAAATTCAAGAACATCAAACACATATAGGAAAACACTTTTTTCCCACCACTTCCTTATTTTCTATCTTAGAATCATCCTTTTTTGTTTGGTATGCATGCATAAGACCTTCCTGATACATATAACACATAAACTCGCGCATATACAGTTTTAAAGAGCATACATTTAGGTTTCTACACATATTAAGGGATTGTTTTTCTCCCACGTCTTAGAATTTTTGCCATCTTGTACACTTAATTC